TGGGTGGCGCTATGGCCCATAGCGACACCGTGTCGCTATAGGCCATAGCGCCACTTTCACAAATTATTTTTTTAAAAATTATTTACTTATAGTAAAATTATTTTTTTATATTAAATATTTGACGCTGTAGGCTATAGCGACTTCAGTGGAGCTGTTTTGTGTCGTTATAGGCTGTAGCGACATTATCAATATGGCTTTCATGGCTTCGCTGGAGTTACAAAATTGCCACGTGTCATAGGTGTCGCTATGGGCCATAGCGACACCGTAGAAAACAACAACCCCAAAGGTATAATATGTTTCAAAACAACCCCATTTTGGTAAATAGTTTGTAAAAGTGCTCTAAAATGGTTGTTTAGCCTATTGTTGAAGTTGTTTATAAAGTTGTTAAGTTGTATTAAGTTGATATTGTAATGACTATAGTTGTTTAATTAAGTTGTTTGCATGTTGTTAAAATTATTAAAGTTGTATAGTTGTATAATTGAATAAGAAGTATAATTACATTGAGATGTATGATGAGTAGAAAGTGAAATGAAGAGATGCATGTTGAGTATAAAGTTGAAAAGTTGCTATGTTGTTTAAAGTTGTTAAAAGTTGAGATTGATGACTATAGTTGTTAATTGCTATAAAGTTGTCTGTTGTGCCATGTGTTGAAAATATATTATTTTATGATGATTAAGTTGAAAATTATGAGTTGAGCTAATAAGATGTTGAGTTGATTGTGTTGTTTAAAGTTGAAATGAGATGTTGTGTTGTTAAAATGTGTTGTTAAATAATTTGTGATGATAAGTTGTTGATCACTAGGACTAGAGGAGATGTTTTCGAAGTTGTTCATCCCATTGTGCGGATTGAGATAGTTGTGGTGCTCTGAGAGCCCAATTTGTTGAAAACCCTCCTTGGGAAGTTGTCCCTTGGAGTGGACGTTGTGTTGTTCTCCTCTAGGACTTAGTTGATCCCGTGTGTGGGCAAGGTCGAGGCACACGTGTATAAAGCGACCACGGTATAGGGGTCAGGCCGAGCTATACCGATTACAAGCGGCCAGATGTTTATTGTTGTAAAGTTGAAAAGTTGGGGACATATGGTGAAGATATATGTCCTATGTTGAGATACATAGTACTAAGGTGATAAGTTAAAAGTTGTTTTAAAGTTGAAAGTTGTTTTAAAGTTGAATCCCTTAGTACTGTGTGGGCGACATGGAAATAGTCGATCCATGTCATGGTTGAATGACCAATTTGAGTAAGGTATCTAGTTAGAGATGTAGTCTTTGACTAGGTACTGGAGGGTGCATGGTACTTGAAGGACAGTGGGTGGGCTAACTCCATATGTGGATTGGTGATGCTAGCCAAGGCCGTGGTAGGCTCATACCCAAACCCTTATGTCCTGACAGTAGTACTGGACCTCCGAGTCTAAGTGGCACACTTGAGAAATCGTCTATTGTTGTCTATACTTGGTTCTCTTTGGAGTTCCTAACGTTGTTCTATACCTGACCTGGTTGAGATAGGTCAAACGTTAGATTCGGTAGGGTTTATGCCACCTAGACTACTCAACCTCAGTTGTTGGAGATCTCCGAGTTGAAATGCGTGACGATGCATAAGTTGTTGATGAGTTGATTTGTTGTTGATAAAAGTTGTATCTATGTTGTTATGTTGTTAAGTTGTGATTATGTTGTGTGTTGATCCTGTTGAGGATGATGATAGTGTTGTTATGTTGTAAGTTGTTTTAAACATGTGTTGTTGAAAGATGTGTAATATATGTGTTGTTTATCTTTTGTATCGGATGTGAAGATGATTATATAGTTGTGTTTCTTATTTGATATTTATGAGTTGTTTATTGTCTCTAGCTTACCCTTGCGTGTTTCCATGTGGTTTGGACTGCGATGATCATACGTTGGTATGGGAGCAGGGCAGGGATAAGCTGGGAGATAACTACAAGAGGCCACAGGAGATGCCTGGAGAGGGATATTTTTTTGTAGGCTACCTTATAGTAGCATATTTTATTGTATATAATTGGTTGTCGTTGGTTGCTCGATGAGTAACTTGTTTTGTAAATATTTTATTATACTATTTTAGTATATATATTTCATTAGTGTGTAATGTTGTTCGTAGTGTGACGATCATGGCGGGTCGTTACAATATGCATACTCATATACAAGTTCCTTAGATATAACATAATCATATGAGAATCAACATTAAAGATGTAGAACTAAAAGGTTTCTAACATAAAGAAGAGAAAATAAAGAGAGAGGAATTACGCAAAAGAGGGAATCACAAGTCATGCTCAATACATTTGATTCCCTTTGATGCTCGAAATTTATAAAATGAAAAGAATGATTATTGTAGTCATCCATCAAACATGAGTATTAAAAATAATTAATTTTAAAAACAGATAATTTAAAAGTAATTAAAACTATAATGATCAAATTATTATTTTTTCATTAAAATCAAAATTGATTAAACATTAAAACTAGTAATTAACAAAATAATAATAATTGATTAAACACAATTATGCCACATCAGGTGCCATGCCCTTTTTTTTTTTTTGTTATAGTAAAGATCCTAAAGAAATAAAAGAGAAAATTATATTATCAAAAGGATCAAATAAGTAATTAACCTTTAAATATTTAAGAAAACACATTGACCTACAAATTAATTCAAAATTTTATATATGTATTTTTCTTAGAGAAGAATACTGGTTTAAAGTAACAAGATGAACAATCAACCCGAACCAAATATGAAGGAAAAAAAAATTGAGTGGAGCATCAATTTGATTTGAATTTAAACTTAGAAAGTCGAACTCGATTATACAGGTTTAGATATTGGTTTTGGTTGTACTCATCCCTAATATTTTTTTCTTTCAATTTTGTTTAATGTTTATTCCTTTTTCTTTCTTAACCAAACACGTAATTTTTTTGATTCCATAAAATTATAATAATAGTATCAGAATTAGAATTCGAACTTAGCATTACACAATTCCACCATTAGGTTCCAAGCACGAAATTTGAAACTTAAGGTGACTAATCATAGGCGAAAGTGACCAGAGAACCAATTACTAGTTAATATTAACAATTAATACTAATAAAACCTAAAAAGATATGAGAACGTTCATCATAATTACTTTAAATTTTGAAATAAAATACAGCAATAGTTGGTAAAGGGCATTTTGGAGAGAGAGAAAAAGATATTTCCATGGATGCCTTATAAAATAAAAATAAGAATAAAACGATATGTCGTGTAAGGGTATAAATTAATTGTCAGCAATAGCAGAGTTGGTAACCGGAGAGAAAAAAAATGCCGTGCCTCAACATCACCACCAACGTCTCCCTCGACGGCGTCGACACCTCCTCCATCCTCTCCGAAGCCACCTCCTCCGTCGCCAACATCATCGGAAAACCCGAGGCCGTAGGTTCTTCTTCTTTTGCTGCTTTCTTTTTTCTTCTTTGATTACTCTTAAATCTTAATTTGTATCCCTAATGCTGAAATTGAAATTAGGTTTAGAAAGGGTCGATATATTGGTTGCTTATTTGAGTGTTTCTCATGTTGAATAAATAAATATGTATGGTGGATAAACACCTTGCTGGTAACTATGGATAAGGTGGGAATGGTTGTCGATTTTATTTGCTTACACCACCTTGTTGAAGAATTTAATTAAAAAAAACACGAAAAATTCGGGTAAATAGGTAGATATGAGATAAAAATAATAATAAATGAAGTTTTGTTTTTGACATTTATATGATCTACTCATGTTACAATTTACAAATGTGAATCTTTATGTTGGATGAGCTATTCCTAAACGAAGAGCGTTATTTTTGGGAAGTTTCTTACATGACAACATTTTTAATATTGATCACTCTCATTGATATCTGTATAGAACTTCTCTTATCCTAGCCATCTTTTTCAATTTATTATTTATATCATTATTTTTAAATCAAATTTCAATATTTTTTTAAAGAAATTATTGATAGTTAAAATAATTTTGTATCAAAATTCAAAATGTAATTTTCTTTTATCATAAATCTAAAATATAATTTATATGTTAAAAAATATTTATTTATTATAAATGTTAATCATAATAAAATTTATATATTAAAATATTTTTTTGATATAAGTTTTAGTTATATAAAATTAAAATTTATTATATGCATTTTTATCTAGGAAAGATTATATCATTGCCAATACCATACCTCTCCCTAACTACTAGATCGACTCTAGTACAAATTTTGTTGCATGTATTGTACGTGTTGGAATGGCAAGTTAATAAAATTATTATATATATGACAATTTGTATTGAATGATGTGTAAAATCATTTTATATAGCCAGTGTATGCTATTTTTGATCTATTGATAATGTAAATATACTTGCGAATATTCCTCAATCCTTATAAATTCTAAGAAAATGTTTGGTATATGAAATTTTTTTTCATATATAAAAATCATGATTTAAATCATAAATTCTCAAAATCATGATTTAGGAATAATTAAAATCGATTTAATTGACCTTGAATATTCTTTTATGGGAATAGAACTTTTCATTTAACTCGGAAATGATAGATTCTTATCCCTTCCTATGCAAACAATTTTTGGGAAACATAGGTAAAATCTATTCCTAAAAAGTAATATTCTTGAGAGTTTTATTTTTAATTAGTAAACTAAACATAAAAAAACTAATTTTCTCAATTTCAGATTTTTGGAAAAGAAAAAGAATTCTTGTATTAAATGCCTCCATAAAATCCTGATCACTTTATTATATTTTTATAATGAATTAAACCCATTTTTAAAACATGATTTCTCTCTTTAGTGATTTAGAATGTTTAATTGTTTATTTTACGTATAGTAGTTTTACATATGTTTTATATTCTCTAAGCTGATTCCAGTGTTTTTAAAAACTTGTCGTATTCTTGTGTTCATCATGTATATGATGCTATATCCTTGAGAATTCTCCAAGTAATCAAATATTTTACTGATGGTTGTTTTGCTAATGATAAATTGATAATTTTTGTTTCTTGCTTTGCCATAAACTTTTGATGTTTTGCCTTGTTTAGACTGTTCTAACGCCTTATTAAGTTAGTATATTCTGCCCTTTGTTGATTTTTGCAGTATGTGATGATTGTACTGAAAGGATCAGTACCCATAGCTTTTGGTGGGACTGAGCAGCCTGCAGCTTATGGAGAATTGGTTTCCATTGGTGGTCTTAACCCCAGTACGAACAAGGAACTTAGTGCTGCAATTGCTGCAATTCTGGAAACCAAGTTGTCGGTGGCCAAGTCACGGTTCTTCTTGAAATTTTATGACACTAAGGCAAGTGTCTAACTTTGAGTTGTACTGAAAAGAAGGGTCACTCATTGCCCTTATCATTTTTCGTATTGCATTATTCATATTCATGTCTGTTAAGGTTCATCAGAGTCAATATGCACAATGCATATATATGCTTTACACAACTACATTAGATCATATAAATTAAACTACTAAGATTCAGCCTAGTAGTGGGAGTTGGAGTAGTATCCACAAAGTCCTAAATCATAATTTTGTTGTTGTCATTGTAATTTTTACTGAAAAAAAAATCATGTTAATTAATTCTCACGGTTCAAAACTGTAATTATAGCCCCTTTTAAGCTGTAATTAATAATTCTATCTGTTCCCTTTTCACATCAACTCTCACTTTTTTTCGTTGTACACTTTTGTGTCCAAGAAATGTTTTGTTTTTTTTTTTTTTTTCTTTTTTGGCTGATGCTTGATGGTAATGATATTTTGTTTGTTCTGCAGGGTTCCAACTTTGGATGGAATGGATCTACATTCTGAATTCATGTTACATCGGTTGTTGTACCATGAGTGTTGGATGGAATCTTCATTATGTTTCCCGTGTTTATCTCTATGTTTGATGTCATAATATAAGCACAAGCTATTTCTGGTAGCCTAAGCGTGGGTATCATGCAAATGTAACTTTATTAATTGCAACTTGCAAGGATAAATGGGGATGACATGTGTTTGACACTTTTTGTGTCAAGCATTATCTGGCACTCCTTAAAATGATCATTTGTATTGATTATGCATTTTATGAATTAAGCTTGAGACCTAGATGTGAACCTGATTATTTCTTATTAAGTTGCTATCATTGTTGTTCGGTGATAGATCAATGGCTGGCCTTTGTTCTGTCTTTAGTAAATTATTGGAATCATGTTCCTTAAAATGTAAATTGGGGACAAAGTAGTTGCTGACTTGCTGTTAAGCACTACAGTTCAGACTCCAGTGCATCAAGTTTTGGAGAGTACTAGAATTGTGCTTTTAGATATGAGAAATACCATGAACACTTTCTTTTGAAAACACTCGGTCTAATTGATTTAAATTTATTGAAAAGTACCAAAGTTGGTGAGTTTCACACTTTATTAATCACTTTTTCTCTTAATTTTTTATTTTAAAAAATTCTAACTAATAAGAAAAATGTATGAAGAGGAGTATGTTAGAAAGTGTTTTACAATCACTTCTCTCTAGTTATTTCTCTGTTCTTTGCCTTGCATGCTTTGGTAGCAACTACCTTGTCCCCAACTTACATTTTAGTTATTTCTCTGTTCTTCACGTTCCATGCTTTGATGTTGGGACAGTCCGAAGAATTTCTCAGTGGAGGAATAACTTGGATAGTTGAAACATGATGGATGTGTAGCGGTCAAACATGCCTCTATGTTCAAAAGAATGAAGAATTATATTATTATCTGTGTGACTCTAAATTATGTTCAAAAGAATGATGGATAAGGGCATTTGACTCTAAATTTGTGACCTGACTCAGCTGACTGTAACTTATTATCTGTCTCCTCTCTTTTAGGTCACGTGTTTTAACAAAAAAAAAAAAAAGAAAAATTGAAGAAACGCTAAAAGATGATCCCTCAAGTTGTCCGTCAATGAGGATTGTTATAATGCTTTTGGTTTTTCCGCTTGAACACGACTTTTATACAAGTAATTTCACATTTTTATTGAGTTGATAATTATTTTAATCCTTAAATAGCTTATAGTCATTTGTCATTTTTAAGAGGCATTTGTAGAAGACCGATTTGAATTGATTTATTTAAATAAAAATAAGTTTAAATAAATTTTTCTTCTCTATAAAATTGGGGGCTTTGGGTTTTAGTCTTCTTAAACAAAAAGTTAATTTCGCCATTGTAAATATTTTTTGTCTTATTTTCGTTCTTTCTTTCGGAATAATTGTTAAATATGATGTAGAAAAATCATAAAATTATAGAGACAAAAATAGAAAAGTTTAAAGATTATAGAGACTGGAATTTAAAAAGACTAAAATAAAAATAACTAAAATTAAGAGGATTACAACAAAAATCTAATCTTATTGGGAGTAAATATCTATTTCAACCAAGTTTATAAATTTAAACCTTTAAATATACTAATACAAAGTAAAAAATAAAAATGAAGTTATAACAAACACATTAGTGACTAGTAAAATATAAGTGCATAATTTTGTAAAAGTCATATAATATTATTTAAATTTATCTTTGCCTTTTTTTTTTTTTTGGCTTTTTATGTTCCTCATTTGTTATATTTACGTCATAACATGAAGGTGGTTGCATTGTTAAATGAATTATATGAAGTTTTATGTTTAGGATTTAATTTTTAAAATTCAATTTTATAATAATTATTAAACACATTCTTATAGTAACTTAAAACTTACCTGAAAGTAATTTAAAATGAATAAATAATAAAGTTATTTAATAAAAAAATTAGTAAATAAATTACATAATATATTGTTTACTGATGTTTTTTATACAATAAATATAACATATAATCAATTTGTCTTTCATTTTTTTAACTCTGTTTTTCTCATTTTTTAATACATCAATAATGTTATATTATCTATTTAATATTATAAAATTTATATAATTTATTCTATGAAAATATATTATAATAAATATATTAATATTATATTAATATTTTATTATATATTTATATTTTTTATGTGAAAATAAAAGGAATAATAAAAAATATTTATCGAATAAAAATACATTAAATAATATAATTTATATCTATTAGATGAAAAATAAAGTAAATAGTAGATTTTTTTTAAGAAAACACAAGCATCTTTCATGGAAAACAAAACTATTCAAATCGTAAAATTGCAATGAGAATTAAAATAAATAAAAAATGATAAAATTTTAATATTTTATTCTTTTATTACATTTTTATACAATAAATAATATAACTTTTATGATATTAAAATAAACAATATAACTTAAGTCATTTATTAAAAAATGAGAAAATATTGAGTCAAAAAATGAATGAAAGATAAAAAACTAATTGTATTTTTATATTCATTATATAAAAATAGAAAAATAATAAATTATATACTTTATTTACTAAAAATATTATTTTTAAATAAATGTACTATTTATTAATTTCAAACTAGATTTTTTTATTAGTGGATTTTAATCTATATTTAATGGTAAATAAGAACTTCGAGAAATTAATTAACCATTAAGTAATGTTATATATAATATACTACTAGTGTTAATTTTATATTTTTATAAGATAAATGACTTGGTGGTATAAATAGTGAAGCAAAGAGGTTTTAACCCTTTTAGAGTTACTTTTTACAATTTTATAAATTTTATATTTTCTTATTACATCAATATCACATCATTGTTCTGCAACAAAGACTGCATAATTAAAAAAAAATCAAATTTGCAAATTAAAAATTTTAAAAAAAAATCATAAGTATAATTTAACTTAAAAGTTAATTAGGGGTGACCATTAGACAGGTATAAATGGATTCGGATATGTAAACTCAAATCCATTATATATCAAGCATTGAAAACTAGGACTGAACTTTTGTCCATTTGACCTTTGGATTAAATCGATTTGAGTTTAGTTAGATTGAGTTAAGACGAGTGGATTATCGCAAGTTTACTATTATAGAAACCTCCATAGAATTGAGTTATTTTTCTAAAGAAAAACTCCATGTTCCATAAGCATGATTGAAATGGAGGCATGGTGCAGTGGTGGAGGGAAAGACAAAGACAAAGAGTGAGTGAACCCTGGATGAATGAAAGAACAAGAGAAATAGAAATTTTAACAATTTTTTCAAAAATAAAAACAGCGGCCAATTACCTTATGCTTGCAAGAGAAATGATAGAGGAAGAGTAGAGAAAAGGGAGAGTTTTTTTTGGCAAAAAGGTAGGGGTGGGCAAAAAAAACTGAACTGAACTGGTGGTGAACTGTACTATAAAAAATTGAACTGTTTGTAAAAAAATTGAACTGAACTGTTTAAAAAAAACTGAAATAAACTGAACTGTTGTAAAGTTGAACTGTACTGAACTATAAAAACTGAACTGCATTATAAAAATTGAACTATTTTTATAAAAGAATAAAAATTAAATGTGTTTAACATGTTATGTCTTAATGGATTAATTCGATAGTCTAATAACTCAAACTTTAGAAAAAAAGTGATTTAAAAAAAATTGTATCAATTTTGTCAACTTAACGGATCAATTGAGTTATGTTGAACTACTTATTTTTAGGCTTAAAATTTACTGAGTTTGTTTGACTTAATTTTATATTTTTCCTTTGAAAAATTTAAATAAAATGAAAAATAAAGTAAAGTTGGCAAATGTGTCCTATTTTGATGGATCAATGAGTCAAAATTATTCAATTCAAAATATCATAACAGTTTAGTGCAGTTTAAATTGTAGTTCAGTTCAAGTTTTTATAGTATAGTTCAGTTCAGTTCAATGACACAAAAGAATAGTTCAGTTCAGTTCGTCTAAACTAATATTTAGTTTAGTTTAGTTCATATAAACTAATTTTAAGTTCAGTATAATTTTTATAAGTTCAGTTCAGTTCGTTTTGCCCACCTCAACAAAAAGGAAAAAGAGTTTCAAACCTCACATACACACACCTTGTTAATCCTATTGGAGATGGATAAAGAATGATACCAAGTATTTCCCACACCTCTTGTGACAGTTCTGAAACAAACTAAAAAAACACAATGCCCAATTATCTCTCACACCCCTGTGATAGTTATGAAATAATAATTACTAATGTTGAAAATGTAAATATTGACAAAAGCAACAGAAGACAGTTGAATACATAAAAAATATCTTACTTGTTTTCGATCGAGTTAATTTCATTGGATTTTATTTTCTAACCCACACCCTCCTCGAATTACCCATACTATAACCACTTGTTTTAGCCTTTTCAACCTGTAACCCAATTTCATCTCACCCGGAGTGCATCACTAAATTTTGCTCATCCCTATAATTAAAGAGGCTACTATAAAATGAATTTCTTATTCTTTTATTATTAAATTATTAACTTAAGTGATGTATATGTATCTCTCTCTAATATATGCAATGTCTCATATATATTAGATAATTAATTTTTTATTATTAAATTTTGGTAAAACTAGATCGAATTAATCTGATTATAAATTCTTTAACTCAACACTTAATATAATTAGGTAACTAAAATATATTAATCTAACTCAATCTAATTATATTGAGTTGTGTTGCGGTCAAAGGGTGGACTAGGATTTTTTCCTAAATCAAGCCTTAGAGCCTGTTTACGGTGGAATTAACCATCAAATCCTGGGTTCTTGGGGTTGTGGGCAGTGAGGAGCATGTGAGTTTTTAGAGGAAAGTTTTAGAGAGAAGGTATCTGGGTCTATGAGCTCCTTTCTCTCCCAAATTTCTCTATATGATTACTTTTCTCCTCTAGATCACTAATGCCTTCTGTCATTTCTTGAAATACAGATTAGAAAACTTACTTTGGGTGGATTGAAGTTCCAGGTTGAGCTTCGAAGGAAAATTATAATTCTTTTCAGTTTTTGGCTATCTGAGCCAATCTTCGGGTGAGGGAAGCTAGAATGTAGGTTGTTTAACTTCAGGAGAGTTAGGGAAGCTTTATGCATGATGTTCTTTTGTTGAAATAATTGAGTTGTTGGGTGCTTAAGTTGATTTATGCTATTTATATTATGTAAGTTGGGCTAAACGACCATTTTAGAGCACTTTTACAAACTATTTATCAAAATGGGGTTGTTTTGAAACATATTATACTTTTGGAGCTGTTTTTTACGGTGTCGCTATGGCCCATAGCGACAACTATGACACGTGGCAATTTTTTTTTTGGTCTAGGGTGGGTT